TCTTAAATAACAAATTCTATACCTCTTGTCTGTGTACTGCATACTATTTCAAATTAAGAGTGATGTTCGTATTATTCACCCTATTAAATTTCAAAATTGAGTTTTTCATTCTAGATGGAGGATATTTTCATGCAAGAGGACTGACATGCCTGCACAAAGCCCTTCTGAGATCAATTTGGCATGAACAGATAGAGATCTGCCTGAATTCATAATAAAAAAGCCAACAAAACTGTCAGGGATATTACTTAAAATACATAGCAAATTCATCAGTAATTATCTTGTGATATGCATCTTATGAAATTAAGACATTTTAGCCTTCTAACAATGCCAGTCTGTACAATATGACAAAGAAACTGTATTCCCAGTTCAATAAGTTATTTACTTTTTGTCCCTTTTAAAATATGTAAGTTTCTATGTGAAATTGAAAGTAATGATCTTGGACTACTTGTTTTCTGTATTTCTGACAGCCTTTCACAAATGACAGATTCATTTTGAAGATCTCGGATTTGGGAAAGCATCACTCTAGCTTTTTATATATTCTCTATATAACATTGAGGAAATTAATTGCTCTTTCTGCACTTCAATTTAACATTTGTGTAAAGAGGACAATAGTTCCACTCCAAAGGACTTATGAAAATAGAAATCACCAGTCTCCTATATGTTCTGTGATTATTCTGGTGTTATAGAAAATATTATTATATTCACATACCATTGCTATTTGGTCTGCTCTTAGATTGCTTTATTTATTTAGTAGTCTGTATGTCACACAGCACAGTTACTATTAACCATCAACAAATTCTGCACATAAACATGCAAAATTCTGTCTTTGTAGATGTTCTACACTTAAAATTCTGTCTTTGTAGATGTTCTATTTTCAAACATGTTCAAGAATGTTATTTATATAAACATGCTACTATTCAGAAGATACTTTAGAAGTTATGTAAAATGCTGTCAAGCCTCAATTTTAATACATTAACAGACCACAGTTCAAGAGTTGCAAACAGGATTTTCCTCATGCTTAATGTGAATCAGTTTACTGTTTTTTTCTATATATAAATTTATATGTATAATTTTATATATATTTATAAAAATAGCATATAAAATTTATATATGATTCAATGATTCTATGATTCTTTTATTTATGCATATAATATAATTTATATATTTATATACATATATATATACTTTAAATCTTTATTGGTGACCAAACAGAAAACAGAAATTCTTATTCTGCAGAGAGTATCATGTAACTAACAGCTCCAAACTGGCAACAACGGCTATTGTCCATACTCAGTACCTGCCTATGCAAAGGGTTAAAAAATAGGGAGACAGAAAGGTTAAGCTTTCTTGCCCTTGTTTACAACCTTAATCCAGAGACAAAGTTTTTCTTTTCCTGTGTCTAAGGGAACTTAGTTCAGTGTGTCCCTGAAGTGTGATATCTGTACACACATAAATGGAACAATTATAAAAGATTATAAGATTAAGAGACAAATCATAACCAATTTTACGTTATGACCACACAGGACTTCAGGAAAGCTGTGAAAACAGAGCAAAGATGCAAAAAGTATCTGTACATACCAGTAACTCCTCCCCAGAAAACTCCCTTCCCCAGAGTCAACAATTCTAGTCCCTTCAGTATGTCCTCGGATGCCCTGTCCTCCATCCCCAGGCTACGCTGGTCAGGACTATCTCAAGTACATCAATGTCTGTCTCATACTGGGATGTCCAAAGCTGTGAACAGCATGCCAGTATTGAAACTACTGAGTACCTTCAGTGAGTATTTTCATTGAGAACACCAGTGCAGGGTCACTTCCCCACACCTGCTGCCTGTACCCTTGCTACTGCAAAGATGTGGGCATGCTGTGTCTGGGTGCACTGCTGCCTTGGGACCAGCTAAGTTGGTAAGCTCCCAGAGATCCCTGGGCCATCACTGCAGAGCCTCTCCACAGCTGTTACCTCCCAGATATATAACTTTGTGTTCACCTTCCTGGGGTTCCTGTACTATCATTCAGGCCATTAACAAAGAATGCTAAACAGTATTTGTTCTTGGATTGATCGCCGAAAGAAATTACTGCTTTCTGGTCACTAGCTGGGCTTTGTATTATGGATCACAACACAGTAAGACCAGCAATCCAGGCCATTTTCCACCTGCAATATTGACTGCTTACCTGGTTTATATATCACCAACCTAGCAACAAAGAAACTATGAAAGCTGCATCAAATTTCTTTCTTAAGTCAGGGTGATCAGGAATACGCACCTTTTCCTGTCTACAGTCTTGTCATCAAGGCTAGAATTTTGGATAGGCATGATGTGCATGGAAGTGGATTTCCCAATACTTATTAAATATTGCGTCTATGATCTGCAGCAGCATCTGTGCTACACTTAATAACAGCTGTTAAAAAGATAACATGCTACTTACCTTTCGTACATTGTGATATTACTAAATACAGAAATATGTGATATTTCTAAACATATAATTTCACTTTGAAATAAGAAATAAGTAAAATAAAACTACTATAAGTGACTACAACCTCAAAAGTATGTGCAAACCAATCACATGCCACATCATAATGCTGGCTTTTTCATCCTTATGTTTATTAACTTTGATAATTTCATATCATCTTTTCCCACTTCAGGAATACTGGTTGTCTGATATGCCACATAAATACACCTCTTGGATGAAAATTGTTTCTCAATTTGAAAACTGCCAAAAAAGTGTAAATTGACTAAACATTTTGAACATGTCCACTGATGTCGACTCTCTCATTTAACTTGCTGACAAAAGATTCTTCCTTCTTCAGACATTACTGGGTTATTTCTTTAGCTTAACACATTGTACCAAACAGTGCTGAGCACTGTTGAGAAGAAGCTTGAAACTGCTTGTATGCCACTAGTTTAGATACAGCTTCTTTGATCTTTGGATGAGTTTGTGTCTCAACTTTATCAGCATTTCCAATTATCAGTAAAGCAATTGGTGATCCAAGACTAACACAGGCACTGAGAGAAATTTGGCTCCTCCATCAGACTGTCTCTATGCAAGCAGCTCTTAAAAGATTTTCAAATTTTTAGGGATTTTCAAACTGTCAAGTACTGTGATAATGTGAGCTAATAGTTTATTTTGAGGTGATGTTAGCACGATTTCAGAGATTCAATTCTTTTTTTTCTTTACAATATCATATCTTGCCTGTCTCTCTAATACATGAACATTTTTTATTGATAATCCACTCTCAGCACCTCTCTTTTTTTTTTCTTCTCTCTCGCCCTTTCTCCCTTTTCTCCCTTTGCCAGGCTAGTATCCTCCAGGTTTCTTAGTGGTTGTTCATAGAAGAAAATAGACTCTGTTATAATGTGAGGAAAAAGCAGATCTGACAAACAGAAAACTACCTTGCCTTTGTCTTCTCCGTGACATCCTACTAGCTACAGAAAAGCAGAAATGTTTGACATTTAAAACGAAATACCAGGGAAATAAAATATCCAAAGTTGAACTGAGATACTGGAGTGTATGAGTAATAAAAATCTAAGACACAAAGGATAAGATGTGTGCTTTAATATAAATTTAATGTGCTTTAATATACTTCCTCTAATGTGCTTTAATATATTTCCTCTAAGAAGTTATCTGTAGATTTACTTTTTTTTTACGTGTGTGTGTAATTTTTGTGCTTTGTGGCTTTAGTGCTGCTGTCACATTAGCTCCTAGCACATGAACGATAACTTGTGGTACTCCCTCAGAGACCATCTTTGAATAACCAAGGCTTCTGACTCTGTCCTTCATCCACAATTGTTTCTGATGTTTTAATAATAGAGTAATAGAATACCAGGTTGGAAGGAATCTCAAGGATCATCTTGTCCAATCTTTCTTGGCAAACCATAAAATCATAGAACCATAGAATGACCTAGACTAGATGTCCTAGCATCCTGTTCAGCTAAATCTTAAAAGTATCTTATGTTGGAGAGCCCACCACTCCCCTGTGGAGATTACTCCAATGGCTGATTGCTCTCATTCTGAAAAATGTTCCTCTTGTGCTCAGTCAGAAACTCCCCAGGAATAATTTGCACCCATTACTTCCCATCTTCTCCATGGAATTCCTTCTAAAAAGGGGAGACTCCATCTTCTTTGTTGCCACCCTTTAAATACTGTAACATGATGATAAGGTCTCCCCTGAGCCTTCTTTTCTCAAGACTGAACAAACACAGGTGTCTCATCCTTTCCCCACATAGCAGGGTTTCCAGTCCTTTGATTACCTGTGTGGACCTTCTCTGGAACCCTTCCAGCTGTTCACACATTTTTTTGCACAGTAGGAACCAAAACTAAACACAGAATTTTGGGTGTCACCTGACAAGTGCTGAGTAGAGCACTTTCTTCACTGGTGAAACTCTTGTTGATGCAACTCAGCACCCTGTTGCCTTTCTTTGTTGCAGCAGCACACTGTACATTTACACTGAGCTTGCTGTCCAACAGGACCCCAAGTCCCTTTCCACAGAGCTGTTTCCCAGCTGGGTAGATTCCAGCCTGTGATGCAGTCTTAAACTGTGTTTACCCCCATGCAAGACCCTACACTTTTGTTCCATGAGAAATACAGTAGGAAGGAAGATCCCTTTAACAAGCACCCAAATAATGTTGCTTACATTTTTTTTTTTCACCAGTTTGTCTTCTAGAGTAAATGTATCACTATTTAACTATATTTTTTTGATCACTGAGTACATGCAGGTATGTTCATGTTTTATATTTGTATTTTATAACAAATTTCCATTACTTTAAGTGAGTGCTTCCAATTCTCTAGAAAGGAAGAGGAATCAGAATGTAATGTCATAAAGTTTGCAAAATAACAGTATAAAGAAATGAAGTTACATACTGATTTAAAGATGTGTTTAAATGGAAACCAAAGTGCTCTAAACTGTCTCATAAACCACATTTTTAATTAATTTTTGTTGTTAGAAATCAGCAGGCTTTGTAAATTTAGTCTGAAAGGAACCTCTGAATGAGTATGACTTCACTTACTTGGAGTTGAGGCTGATCAGCTCTTCCACAGCTGGTGCCAACATTCTGTCAGTCAAATTCTTAACTGGGTTGTAAAGGGCAAGGAAAGCAGCTGCTTTTCACTCCCACCTGAAATAAAATATTGTGTCAGTTACTTTTTTCACAGTCTTCCAATTGCAGTAGGACATTCATTACATTATCTTTGCCTGTCACATTAAGGGTTCATCAGAATACTCATCTAAAGGATGAAATCATAAACTATTACATTCTATGAATTTCTCCTTGAATGTGTTATACAACATGTGGATAAATAAATGCTCTAAATAATATTTTATTTTGCAATAAAAATTCTTATAAAAATTATTTTTATATTAATTTGTAACTGTTAAATAGAACATTTACTCATATAAGGTACGCATTTATAAATGCTAAAGGGAGAAAGTAAAATCAGAACACCTAGCAGTAGAAAATAGAAGTATATTTGTAGTAGTGCATGTAAGCATTCAAATAATGAAGAGTCACATTTCTTTTTATTACAGTACAATTCATTTTTTTACAAATATCTCCATCTAATTATGAACCATAGTCTTCAAAATTATGACAAACTATATTTAAAACAGAAGGTTAATTAAAAAGTCCCTCAAATTTAAACTGCTATCACCTTTGAAAGGTCATAAATGTAAAAAGTCCCAACTGACTAAAAAAGTTACAGATACTACATCCATCTACAAAAAGAGGTGAAAAAGATTCAGGAAACTGTAGTCCAATTCATTTCACTAGAGTTACTGGGAAAAATTATAGAACAGGTCTTCAAGAAAGCTATACAAGCACAAGAAGGGCAATCAGTTGCACCATCACAGCAGGCAGGCGCGTGACAGCAGGCAAGTGCACGGAAGCATGCTGACCAGCCAGTAAAAAGCAGCATCCTCTGCTTCTCCTCAGCTTCTAGCATTTGGTAGAACCAATGCTGTTATACAGACAGAGCTCCTATCCAATCAGATGAAAACTTAGGTTTCCGGCTGTGGGATGTGGAAAGGGATATCCTTGGAGATGGAAAGTGATGGCAAGCGAGCCTGTGGGAGGTGTGAACAGGCAGATGAACTGTTCTGCTTGCTGTCCAAGCTATAGGAGGAGGTGGGCAGACTGAGGAGTATTTGAGAGTCTGAAAAGGAGACTGGTCAATAGAGCTGCATTCTGATGTATGAAAGGTGACTCAGAGAGGCCACTATGGAGGCAGGTACAGGATCTGCTTTGTGCCAGGATAAAGGCAGTGTTAAAAGGGATAAAGAAGGGTGGAAGAAGATTACAGTGCAAACACATAAGCCCTTCCTTACCCTCTAAGACACTCTTACAAAATAGGTATGAGGCCCTAGGTAGAGTAGAAGCAGCACATAATGAAATAGAAGAACCTACACAAGCAGACATATGTAGGTAAGAAAGACCAACCCCTTGCAACAAAACCTCATTAAGACCATTGTCAAAAAGAAACAACCAGCAGCTATAGCCATTTCATAAAAAGGACATGGAACTGTTGGAACAAGTCTGGAGGAGGGCCTCAAGGATGATCAGGGGACTGAAGCACCTCCCGTATGAAGATAGGCTAAGAAAGCTGGGGCTGTTCAGCCTGGAGAAGAGAAGGCTGTGTGGAGACATCATAGCCACCTTCTGGTATCTGAAAGGGGCCTGTAAGGATGCTGGGGAGGGACTCTTCATTAGGGACTGTAGTGCTAGGACAAGGGGTAATGGGTTAAAACTGAAACAGGGGAAGCTCAGATTGGATAAAAGGAAGACGTTCTTTACTGTAAGGGTGGTGAGGCACTGGAATGCGTTGCCCAGGGAAGTTGTGAATGCTCTGTTGCTGGCAGTGTTTAGGTCCAGGCTGGACAGAGCCTCGGGTGATGTGGTTTAGTGTGAGGTGTCCCTGCTCATGGCAGGGCGTGTGGAACTTGATGATCTTATGGTCCTTTCCAACCCTAACTATTCTATGATTCTATGATTCTATGATTCTATGATCCTATTTGTGATTCCCTCCTGTGTGAGGAAGAACCTATCTACAGACCAGACCCTCTTTTCAGGGATGTCTTCTGCCTTCCTGAGGCCCACATTAGAGACGTCACCACATAACTGAAAAGCTTAGTACAACCTTCAGACTACAACCCATTCCTCTTTTATATGGGTATTAATGGTGAAAGGGCTGGAAAGCACGTCCTGTGAGGAACAGCTAAGGACTTTGGGCTTATCTAGTTTCAAGATAAGGAGGCTGAGCGGTGCTCTGCAACTTCCTGAGGAGTGGAACTGGAGAAAGAGGTATTGCTCGATACACTCCTTAGTTTCCACCAATATGACATGGGAATGATCCAGGAGAGCACCAGGGGAAGTTTAGACTGGACATTAGGAAGCATCTCTTTACCAAGAGGGTAGTCAAACCCTGGAACAGGCTTCCTAGAGAGGCGATCAATGCCTCAAGCATGTGTGTTTTTAAGAGGAATTTGAACAATGTCCTCAATAACATGCTTTAAGTCTGCCAGGATTTTGCTGCTACAGTTATTTTTCTTCTTCCTAGAAGCTGGTGCAGTGCTGTATTTTGGCTTTAGTCTGAGAACAATGCTGATAACACACCAGTGTTTTAGTTGTTGCTAAGAGGTGCTTACTCAGTTGAAGGACTTCCTCTTCTCAAGCTCTGCCAGTGAGGAGGGGCACAAGAAGCTGGGAGGAAGCAGAGACAGGACACCTGACCCAAACTAGCCAAGTGGGTATTCCGTACCACAGCATGTCATGCCCAGTATATAAACTGGGGGGAGTTACCCGGAAGGCCCAGATCGCTACTCGGTCGGGTCAGCGGGTGGTGAGCAATTATATTGTACATCACTTGTATTTATTGTGAGTCATTTTACTTTCCCCTTTTAGTTTTATATTCTCTCCCCTTGATATTTCCCTCGCCATTATTGCTAGTTTTATATTATACTTTAGTTACTCCACTGTTCTTATCTCAACCCATGGGGTTTACATTCTTTCGATTCTTCTCCCCATCACACCCAGAGCCAGTAGAAAAGGGAAGGTGAGCTAGTGGCTGTGTGGTTCTGAGTTACTGGCTGGACTTAAACCACGACAGTCAGTCCTGAAGTGGTCAGACAGCTGGACTGAGTGTAAGTCCCTTCAATTTGAAGTGTTCTGTTCTATACTATTATGTTCTAGAAAAACCAACACAGATTTACCAAGTATGAACAGTACTTGATCAAACTGATTGCTTATCAATATATTTATTGTGTAAGTGAGAGCTGTAAAATCCACGTATTTTCTCAAGCATAACAGTAAAAGTTAGTAACATGAAAGATGAAATATAAAACTTTGTATCTCTTAAGTATTTGTTCTGCTTATGCATACTGAAATTCCAAGCATCCATACCACTATAGCACAAAGGACAGAAACATGTATGAAGACACAGATATGTGGAAAAACAGTGTAAAGAATTGTAATTTCTTACAGCTATAACAGTATAACATTCAGTAATGTTATTATGTTTTCCTGACCACTATACATTTGTTATTCTAACTAAAAGAACACAAAACAAACCTGAAGAGAAAACATATTACATCTCTCAGATGAATTACAGAGCAATGAATGAATTTCTGCAGAAGGCATGATTTTTCACAAAAATCACTGCCTTAAAACAACTTTATAGTGAGCTTGTATGATATACTAGCACTGCATATAGGACAAAAATGTTCAGAAAATCATAGCTGGCTTATAAAACTTTCAGATCTTTATCCATCAACATTCCTTGCCATACAGGTATATAACTTAGGAACTAGTGATCAGTTACAATAGGGGCAGAGAAGAAGAATGATTAATAGAATAAAGTTAGTTGCTTGATGCTGTATACAAGCATTGGTTGGAGAGGCACTGCACATCTGAAATATTTGTGAACTTTCACCTACAGTGTAATCACCTAGGAGAACAAAGCTGTTGCCATTTTCTTGCAGATAGATGGCACACATTTTTTTCCTCAGAAAAATAATTGTGATCTAAACACTAAAAAAAAAAAAAAATCAATAACACTTCTGTTCTCTACATAGTCAAAGAATTCATTATTTGTAAACAATTAAAATAATCCTTTAAAATTAGTATGTTGAAATATTCTGACAGATGAAAGCTCCTTCTACGGTCTTCTAGTTTTAACATAAAGAACCAAATTCCTCATCTTAGAAAGAGGAAGTTAATGTAATTCCATGAAATGCAAATTCTACATTAGTCCATGAACACTCTGCAGTTGCAGACTGACACAATTAATAAATGTGCTCTCTCTGAAGCCTTTTTCTACTCTTTCTGTCAGTACAAGCTTTAGTGAAGTTATTCATACATATAAAACTCCTTAAGGACAGACAAATTTAATTCAATAGTCCTAGAGATCTGACCATAAATAGCTATCTACAACAGAACCATACTAAGACTTTTTTTTTTTTTTGTGATGTTTTTGAGTTTCAGAACTTTTTCTGTTTTCAACAGGAAGCATTCACAAATTACCTAAAGACTTTGTCAGAATGCCAACAATCTTTTCAAAAGAAGAAAACAGGCGAATCTAAGCATGCTTTCCTGAAACATTTAGACTGGAAAAACAAATAGGTGGAATGGAAGAGAGAATCAAATCTCTCCAAAGCCCTTCAACCATAAACTCTCTTTGTTGTTTATGCCCTCACAAGTTGCATTTTGCAACTAATTAATATTTTCTTATCAGAAATTATATTAACGGTGAATTTACAAATTCTAGCCTGGAATTCCCTGAGGCAGAGAAGAACAGGAGACATACAACAATTAACTAAATACTGAATCATCAGAGGCTAAGGGGTAGAAATCTGTTCTCTTTTATTGCTTTTAACTTGAAACTGGAAAACAAACTTGTGAGGCAGCAGTGAGATTTTTCCCCCACACTTAGACTGCTCTAGGGCAACAAATGGGGTGCATACTTTCCTTTCCAGTGAAGCAAGTAACACCTTTTATTCATAATCCCTTTTTCTTCTTAAATTTGTAAGTTTTATATCAATGTACTTATCTTTTCCTTTTGGCTTCTCCCCCCATTTTGTTACCTAGAACTCAGCTTTCTTTTTCCTTAGTCTCTAACTCTACACTTTCAGCC